TATATATATATATATAACGTCTAGCAGTGTGCTTACTCGATATCTTAATGTGGGAAAACCAGAAACACGAATTTTGCATCTCCATCTTTTTGGAAAGTGAAACTGCACGTCGGAGACAGCCCTAGTTTGTAACAGGTGGTACTGCCCAGATCTCACTAGAGTTTATTTCAAAAAATGCTGTGTTTCGTACGACAATATACAGTGAACTGGGTACGAAAATGTTTATACGTGTTTGATTTGTGGCTTCAAAACGTTTAAATGTGTTCGCGCGTGGGTGTAATTCAGGCCGACAAATTACCGAACTTACCCTCAAGTGATGAGGGGAAATGCTCAAGAGCTTGGAAGCAGGCATGAGCAAAAAGTACAATCGATGAATGGTCAGATTATTCATCTAACTTGTCGGTTAACCCAACTAACCTCCGCTAATGGGTGGCGGAGGTCTGTGGCAGTGATGCGATTGGACTCTTAAAAGTCTGCGAACGGCGAACACCCACGTGATGAGTCCCAGGATATACGTAAGCCCCTTAGAAGGCTAAGGCTTTTGGAGTCCGCCAAAACTTCATAAAATTAGAATCAGTGGTTAGCAGTTTACAACATTTTATGGGCATTCTGTGCCCCTCATATCAGTTCATTTAAGTGATATATTTGAGCACATCGTAGCGGGAATGAGATCAGTCAGCCATATTCAACGACGTTATGACTACCAATGTTGCTGAATGTGATGAGAAATTATGATCATCTCCCAGTGACCTTCTGTGGGCATTCTACGCTATATACATTGCAAGATATTCGGCCGAAATAGTGTACAACCAAACAGAAAACAAAAAAGCTGTTCGTCTCTTCCATTTACTACCGGCCTCTCAAGAATAGCCTGTTCGCTGCGTTCACGTGATCTCTTAGGAGCGAGAGGAATGTACTCAGAAAACGTCGCTTTTTGTATGGATAGAGTTCGAAGCGAGATTATATTTCTTCGCACACTCACATTGGTTGCGCGTTGGGCAAACGGTTGAAAACAATTGACCTAACAAATGCGCGCATATTAAACTAAGCTCTTGAAGAGAGGTTTGCGGATCCCATTTAATTTTGCACTTTCAATTCTGTTTGAACATGGGCAAAACCCGAGATCATTCATAAACTTATGGTTATGCCTAGGTTCGGAAGGATTTGGAAAAGTTTCAGCCTACACACTTGTCGACATAAATTGACATTTTTCTGGTCAACGAGTACTGATTTGCTATTGCCAACAAGTGATAAATGGCCCATGCACGACGGTGGCTTGATTGGATTATCAGGTTAAATTGGACATCCTGAAAACTGGTCACCAACTTCCCAGGTATACCAGTGGAATCCAGTTAGAACATTGACTCAAAGACCACTTGAAAGACCAATATAAAGCGGTCCCTTTGGAAGTACTTAAAACTGAGAGGAGTCTTAAATGACCAGTCTAGGCGCCCCCTTCGGGGAGGTGTTGGTTCCTGAGTTCCGAGGTTTTGCGCATTTTTCAAATGTGTTGTTTATTGCCAAGTATATTCCTGTTCTTTATATAATCCAAGTTTTGCAGCATTTATGGCCGAAATTCTCTTCTGATGTAAAAGCGTGCGTTTGGATGTTTATGCCACCAGATTTGTTCTGTAATCCACATATTCAGTGTAGTGCCATTCCACGCCGAGCGCAACATTCTGTTCCAAATTTCTTCAGAAATTACGGCCAAAATAGATTTGTTGAAGCTTCTATTGCAGTGTTTCTTGTTGCACTTTGGCAGTTAACTATTTGAAAAAAATTCGGCAACACCAGACGAAAACACGTTTATTTGGTCATTTGCCAGTGGATTCTTACTGCTTCGGCCGCCCCGTGTTTCAGTTGGCACAATATCCGAGGTATCACCGTACGTTTTCTTGGGGGTTTCTGAAAATTCGACAGCTCCTTATAGGTTTCTCCATTATTTAGGCTCTTGAGGTAGTAATAATGAGGTAGTCTACGTGCAGGTGGGATTCATTTGAGTCTCTGGTTGAAACTAAATCGGTTTACAAATTAGTATAGTTTTGGGATGTCAAAGTAGTTGAGTTCAAGGTTGACGTAAACTCAGGAACTGTGCTAACCTGATGGCCCCGGAGGAGAACGTGAAGCTGGTTATGGGCTGCCGAAGATTTCAGCAAAATTACGAGTAGTGTTCATTCAAGAATGGTATTCTTCTTGGATGTCTTTGCCAAATATATGGGCTGCCGAAGATTTCAGCAAAATTACAAGTAGTGTTCATTCAAGAATGAATGTCTTTGCCAAATAATTTTTGTATATCAAGGTTATTGGGTCGTGATATGGCAAATCCGGCGCTTTACCTTACACCCTCAGGTCTAAAAGAATACCACCTCAGCTAATTGGAGGAGACTGAGGTAGGCTTGAAGCTGTCAGCCGAGTTGGGCGCGAATGTTTTAAAAAACGAAACCGGTTATGACGGAATCCTCATTACCTATCCCTAAAAGATATTGATGTATAGTTTCTAGAATCTATCGTTTCCCCACAACTCGCGAGGAACCAATGAAATAACACTTTGACACTCAGATGTGCTACTCTCATTGGCTGTGTCCAGAATCCAGGCAACCACCCATCAAATTTGTTATTCTTGACCAGGTTTACACAAAATCACCATGAGAAAAGCTAACTGGGAGGGCGAGATGAATAAACCTGCCCAACACCCTCACTTGCTTTGCGGTGGCACATCTGTGACTTTTGCAAGTTCCAATTGCGCAACATGTGGCTGCGAGTAGTTCGGCACCTACATAGGAGGTGGTCCGCCACATCCGACAGTAGCCTCGGTTATGTGTGTACCTTGTGAACATCTGTACCCGATCCTGTGGAGAGCGACCGCCTAGTGAAAATGTGTTTCAACTGGTGACGTTTTTCCGCTTCCCCTCTCTCTCTCTCTGTCGCACGCGCCAGATGTCTGTTTCCACATCGGGTGCGAAGTAAAAAAATTTGTATCGTCTAACAAAAGTTGCAACTGCCAAATGAGCACACAAACCCGACACCTGTGATGTTTGCTACCGGCTGGTACGAACAAGGGATGCACATGGATCCGATTCGTTACATGCATCAAAAATTGGCCTGTGGGCCTCTCAAGAAGGTGATAGTGGTCATTGGCTTGCTGCGCTAAAATACCCAGCGTCTAACAATGGTTCGTTTCGTATTTGCATAAGGTTTCCGTATCTGATTTTTATTGTTCAGTTCGAAGGTTCAAGAATGTGCGTTTGAAAGCAAGCAAATGATACCTGGTCCTTCGGGTTCCATTTCCAGTTGGTCATTGAAAATGTGGTCCCTTTCAATAACTGACAATCATTAATTCATTATGAATTAATTGCTCATAAATCTTATGAGTAACATTATTTCCTAGGTCTTCCGGCTTACGATCACTTCCATATTTCCGGCGACCCAATTTACCTTGGTAGCGGAAATTTCAGGTATTCTCATCTAAGCTAAGTGATTTCCCATAATTAGATGAGGAAACGATTTTATGCGGCCTGCCCAAAAACACAGTAAGCTATACATTGTATGGACAATTGTAACCAATATAACCACGTATGTGTTGACCGTAGACACTAATTTCGATTTGGTATAAATAACAACTTCTGGACAATGTTCCGAAGAATGCTCAGTTATAAATTAATGTGACGGCACATGGGGACAAAAGACACATGATCCGGTTAGACGTAACTTCTTCCATGTTCATTCACGTTCCGCTCTGGTCACACAAATGAAAACATTGCGGTACTGAAGAGCCTAAATGAGCTATTACTGTAGTGCACGTTTGGTGTGTAATAGCAGTTCGACGAAAATCTGTATTAGTGGTGGATGAACGATATATTTGTGCCATAGAGAAATCCTCTGAGCCATCGGGGATTTCAGCGAACTGTAGGCAAACATATCCGGTGATTCAGTTTACATCCAAATGGGGTAACTAACCGTTGTTTCAATTTTTTGGAGGTAAATATGTGAATATGGAATCTGCGGGCTCACGTAAGCGTGTGGTTTACAGAAAACCAACTTCGGAAGGACAATACACCAAATTCGACAGCCTTGTGCCGCTGAAAATAAGCTTAAATTTTGATTTGCGTTTTGTTCATAAGGTGGGAAAATCTGCTCTAAAAAAGAATTCTGTCGGTGGACCACCTGCCTCCTGAAAACAATTATTTGGACGGGTTTATCTCAAAGAATGTAGCTACTTAAACTAAGAAAACCAAACAGGTCACCGCTGAAAGTAGATGCATATTCATCAGCCTTTCTTTCAACGGATATGAGGCCATGATCAAAGCATGGTGGTCTATTCCTTCACTGGCTATTGTATAGCAGAATTCGGGGTGTACGATGTGACTGTTATGTAAGAGGATACACGGGCGCAATCGATTTTTTTATGGACGACTTGATTGAGAAAGTCTATTACCAGCAAAGTGTCCGTTCACTTAAATTGCACGAGTCATTCGCTTTCGGATTACTGTGCCAAGTGTTTATCTTCCCACCAACAAAGGAGGGAAACCCTTCGCGGGGGAGTTGCATATTGGAAAACACCAACTAAACGGTTACAGACTATTGGACAGGAAAGTGAAACTCTCATATGCACCTTGTTTTAAAAAACTGAATATCCGTCTTCTTGTTGGACGCATCTTCCCAAACGTTTCTAGACATCCATTGGCCATCACGCAACTTTAAACGAATGCTGCAAAGCAGTTCCACAAATTCCGTGATACATTCCACCTTTCATTAGATGGAGGTGGAGTTACGGGGAGAACACATTCTACTCACGCCTCATCAGTAGTATCCACAGCTACACCATGATCCGTCCAATGATGATATCTGACCACAGCTGAGACAAATGTGATCCGCCTATACAACTCAACTCTGTATACTCAGAAAGTATTTGTACGCGCATTGAAAATTCTGTGTTCTGCTCACGTAACCGGCTGCCAGTTAGACTGAGCAGTCTTCACATTTTCTCCCACAGACTCCGCTTCATCCCCGTTCTACCGGTATGGTCGCTAGCTTTTCGTTTTTTAATCTCCATGTTCATAGTGAAGATCACGAAAACAATGGTCGTTAACTTGTGTTTTAAAATTAAGCTGCTGATCTCACTAAACCAACGATCTTTAATATGGTTGACAACATGATGAAATTTTATAAGTGTTTGTAATAATTGCCGGTCATTTGACCCAAACCAGTTCCATGATAATTCAACTCGCTAAGTGTTAGTTAATCTCTGCAAAAATCCCAGCACTGGTGTCAATGAGCCGACAAACCAAGATATCCAGTCTCTCTGTTTTCCCCACAATCTGGTCCCAGTTAAATATGAACCAGTGAATCGTTCTGTTTCCTTTCCCACCGTCGGGTGATGAAACTGAGCTGAAAGGTTTCGGAACTCTCGGTTAGTCGACAAACCATACACAGCCTTCCGTTATTACATTTTACTTTATCCTGGGACTCCTAATCACGAGGAAGAACCTTTTACATGATCTAAACCACAGCGTATACAAATGACAGTTGAGGGGAATTCGTGCCAGACTTCTGCGGAATCAGCTGTGAACTTTTGTCCACGAAGCACTCGTTATGTTTGAGTTCAATCCCGCATAATGCAAGTGAGCTTAAGACAGTCCTCCTTCGCAAATTTTGATATTAAAAGATGGTGGAAATCGCTTGATTGCACGAAGGACACTATTACCAACCCTACTTAGATGATTCTCGAATAGCTCACGGAAACATCTAGTGAGCGCCGGAATAATCCACAACTAATCCGCAAACTCATGACCTAGCTACTCAAACAACCGAGCAGTGTGCACACCGTCATCCATGACTGAATCACGGTGCGCCGATGGGCCATATTCGGGACTATCTGTATGGCATCGGGCGCGAAACTTTGGAAAGCCTTGCCCTTAATCTAAATCGGTTTTCCCCCGTTCGATTTAGATGTTTTCAAAATTCAAACAAATTACTTGAGGCGGTATCTCATACATAATTCCTGACGAATTTTGATTCCTATTAAGAGGACTTGTAGGAATCGACTTTGTTTTTTGCGAAAGTCCCAGACGACGCTTCTGGGAATAAAACTCCGATAAGATGCAATTCGCCAAATAGTCTACAGGACCCCTACATCAGGGGTAATTTTAAGGGTTCATGATTGAGTGAAGGTCCATAGGTTGGAAGACACTAATTTCTGAGAAAATGCTGTTGATCCTACATAATAATAATATTCATAATATATTTCTGAGAAAATGCTGTTGATCCTACATCGCTCGTTCTCATAATATTCTTCAGATGAGTAAGCTGCGCGTCGCTTCACAATATCCATGATATCAGAGTACGTTTCGATACTACTCATAAGGGTGCTGTGAAATCTGTGTAGCCCATAAACGATTCCGCCCACTTTATGGGTCGCCTTACGTAATTAGGTATCCATACATCAAATGAGGCTCGTGAGAATATGGCAAATCGGCCATCTAATGAACCCCGAAAAGTGGTGAAACCGGACTGTTCAGCGTTTTTGTCGATCTCATGAGTAGTATTGACAATCGACAGTCAAAATTATCTGATTTCTGAAACATTTGTTACCCTCAACTGATTTTTGTCAAACAACCAACGTGACACGTGTGTTATCGCTGGTAGATAAACGGTCTGGGGGCAGATCCGGTTGTGTGCAGATTAGTGAAATAAAATAGGGGTCTCACGTTGCGAAATCAAAATTGTGGATTTTATGTGCGCGTAGTAACAATCTTGGTTGCAACTCCACCACATCTTTACACAGCTTGGCATATGTTGCACACATGTGAGTCCTAAAGATGTCTTCAGTCCTAGTTATTCTCAAGATATCTTCCGATAAAAAAACAGAAAAGGGGCAATCGTTCGTCTGAGAACTAGGGAGAGTGTTGATGCTAAAACTAGCAGTCACTTGATGATGGGTATGGACCTGACGACTAGATGGAAAATCCCACTGAATTAGGTTTGGAAAAAGTGAGGCCTGATTGTCCGATGAAACAAGGCACTTGAATGGCTACGCATTGAAGACGATGGCTTTGAGGTGTGAGCGTTATTGATCGCTTGATCGAGCTGACAAAACTTAGGGAGATGAGCCCCACAGCCCCTATCAAGGGAGGGGGCGCTTATCAATCCGGGTTAATTGTTGCGTTTTCATACTTCGTTGCTACGTCAGAGTCTGTCTGCCTGTCGATATTCTCCATCCATCACAAGCATGGGTAAAAAGAGTTCTCCTGGTGTGCGAACTATATGTCTTCATCAGGGTAGATTGTGAATCATGAGTAGCTCGTCCAAGGCTGTCTTGCATGAACGGACGCTCCTGATGCTCAACGGATGCTCCGTAAGTTCCTATGGTCAGACGCCGAGGACTTCGTACATCCTCTTCGCTCAAGGGCCATGTTTCTCACCCACAAAAAATTATGGATCGCAGCACTGCAGGATTGCAGTGCATAAGATGTTCTTGTCAGAAAAATAACACCACAGATCGGAGATCAGTAAAATCAACGACTCGAGAACTGTTTCCGTCCCCAGCCGTTCTCCCGGAACTCATCCGGACACATTGACATAGACAAAAGATTGCCATATATGTCCGAGTCACGTGCTCAATGGCGAGCGTACATCAGTGCATAGCTTCCCGCCAGTTCTCCTCAATTAATGGATCACTAATACTCCGATGTTCACGCACGCATCCTATCAGCTACTGCTTCCAATGCGTAGCTACCCACCCACACGTCTCCAGATCATTGACAAGCAAAACCGTTGGAGTTATAAGCACGGTACAAGCATGCGATTTTTACACTTGAAAATGATGATGAAGATGACGGAGATGATGACGAAGGGACTTACTGAAACGATTCTGTCCCACAGTTCCTGCATATCTGGAATTAGTTTACTCGAGCAAAATAATTAGCAGAAGAATTATAAGTTTTCAAAATGGTCGGTCAGTTGAAACATCCTTTCGGTGCGTAGCTGCCATGCCACCCGGAGTAACCGCGACGGATGAGATGTAATCAGGGTGTCCACTAAAGATGCTGATTTTGAAGGATTATCGGCATTATTATTACTATTATTAGTACTAAGGTTTATTAAGGATACTCTGGTTATGATTTGTGCAAAAACATGGATGGAATGGAAGGTTTATCTGCACACCAATCCATCATTTGTTACCACATTGAATAAACATTTCGGTGAAGCAACCGATATGTGGACTTTAGCATTTCGACATAGAAATCAGTCACAAGCGTTTCATTCTATCGTATATTTCATGTTTAAACATGCTTGGTCATCAATGGATCCACGAGCGACCTCTTAGAGCAGCGTAAAACTGTTATTTGATTCATCTAACACGGTTGCGAAACTCAAGTGGAACGGTTAAACAGGCAGAGATCAACCGTGCGACGAAAAAGCCACAAAAGCAACATCGGCTGTGGGTTTGAAAAATGCGGAAATCGGTGAGGATGGGATTGCTCAACCGACCATCATTCCGTATTGTTGTTCAAAAGCATCTTCTGGACAAAAAGATTTGAAGGAAAGGTAATAAACACTAATCGAAATAGCTTCTCAGCCAACAGGAGAATTCCACTTAAACCCTTGTTGCACTACTGAGCTTGAAGCGTTTAAAGCGGATATTATCAAAGTAAATATCTTTTCCCAACCGAAATTTAGTCTTCGAAAGGGACAGAAGAATGAAGTGGAGGCGAATAAACTGCTCTTGGTGGCGAAACAGAAGATCCGACAAGCACCAAACCTTTGCTGTGAACGTGTTGAATGACTCGAATTTCTAAATTCCACTCAACGACTTGGACTTTTGCTTATCCTTTTTCGCCTGCTTCTCCCGCTCCTTTTGTTCCTTCTTCAATTGTTTTTCACGTTCTTTTCGTTCTTTCTCAGCGCGCTCACGGGCCTTTTTCTCTGCTTTTTCTCGCTCTTTAAGCTCTTTTTTGGTTTCCAGTTTTGTGTACCGCATGTTCGGAGTGGACACAGGGGTTCCGATTGCGTCTGAATTCAGATGGAGAAAGAATTAGCGTCACAATTAGTCTTGTTGGTAAGTGCGTGTCTTATTGTGATTTTCTGGAAGTTAGATTGCTGAAAAGTCACTCAAACTCGTTCACAGATAAAAGCATGAATAGCACGTCGTTGAAAAACAAAGCTGGACGAGGAACATTTTTTAATTTGCTAGTGCCACAGCAGGCATTTGGATTTGATATACAATTCCAATAATTTCTACGTAATTCTGCTATGCTAACTGGAGACCTCAGCATGGTGGATTAGCTAGCAAAAAATCTTTCAATTTGAACGGTAATCCTATTGCAAACGGAGCGAGAATTCAAACTTCTGGCAAAGCTCTGCTATGTGCTAGTATTGTATGCTTATGTTCAGTGGATCTTAACAATGTTTCGGAAGCCCTTACAGGAGCCCCTTATTCAAGCGGTCCCAGTGACAGGATCACATCTTGGGACGGTCGTTCGGGACTTGAAGTAAAGAGGAGCCCCATAGATGATCGGCTGAAGATCGGCATTTTTGCAGGCCCTCCATCCTCGTATCGTCTTCTGAGAAGCCGGTTATCAGTGAAGTGCTCCTTTCCTTTTTTAGAAGACAGTACCTACGTCGTCAGAATCACATTGGCCATAGTTTTCAGCCTGGAAATGCTGAAATGCGTTTTAACTTATACTACTTGCAATTAATTTAGTAAACGCAAGAGTAACAAAACCTAGCGGGAAAGTGGCATATATGTATCGGCTTACCAACTATGGGGAATAATTTAGACGCGGAAGCATTCACTTTGTATTCCGCGAAATATTTATACATGAGGACAGCTGAGAAGATTTGTGGTTAGTTTAGAATCCAAAATGTTGCAGACAAAGCCTCTTACAGAACCCATCAGTACAATACCTCAGGGGCCGCTTCCTCATGGAAAAGCTTGAAGAAACTTCAGATCCAAATAGAGGTAAGATTGAGCGAAGTGTCCTGGTATGAGTTTTTATAAGACCCTGAAACTGTTTCTGGTGGCTCCCTCAGAACAACAGACAAACTATCAAAGCAGCTTTACGATAAAAGTTATATCTCGAAGGTAAAGGTTACAAATTCACTAGGTTACGCAAGCTGTAGATTGAAGGCCCCAATCGATTTAAAATTTAAACAAAATTTCTTGGACTTACTAGCCGAGGGAGCGGAGCAAAGTTTCGGAACATTGTTGGAAAAGACGCTCCGGATGTTGCCTTTTGGGAAGTAGTGGGCTACGATATATGCCGCTTCTCCGTCCTCTGAAACCGCGCGACCAAATCCAACATTTTTACTTCCTTTCCAGATGAGCTGACTAAAGTAGCCTTGTGACAAATTCAATGAGCATAACAAAAGAACAAGAGAACAAAGCTTAAAAAAGCGAATGAGTGGAAGTTGAGCTTAATCAGGCTAAGTACGATAGAATAAAAATTTGCATGCGCACTCATTCGATTTATTCAGACAAACGATGGGTACAAGTACCGTTTGAATCTTATCTTAGTTCTAGGAACATAAATAGTGTAAGTTTATGAGGACAATAAGTGCACTTTGCATGATGTCTTTTACGGCAGCATGCCTGTGTTTGCTTACAACACAAGATGGAACGCATCAAGTCATAAATAAACCTACATTGGCACCGAAGTTTCTTCAAAATATAAACCATCAGCATAACTAGTTAAGCGCAAGTGAAAGCTTGCGTAATGGATTTGCTTGGACTTTTACCTGAGTTATTTCTGTAACTATCGGGTTTCCGGCAAAAATACAAAGATATGGGCACCTGTGTGCACCAAACACCATAAAGGGACTAAAACAAAGGAAAGCAATTAACGAAATACACTCATTTTTAAACTAATTTGGCTTTGCGAGAGACTCACCTGGAACCCAGTTGAGTCCCTCGCAAAGCAAAATTAGTTTGCAAATGAGTGTACTTCGCTGATTTCATGCACCTTGGTTTCGGGGACTGCGCCTACCTGATGAGCCCCAAGAAGAGTGAAACCGGTCGTGGGCTGTCGACGAATTTTCAGCAACCTTGTGAGTAGTGCAGTGGAAAAAATGTTTGATAGCTTCTGGATGGGGGATTTTTTCTGGAGGATATTAGTATTTGTTGCGGTTCCCAGAGAACATGGAGAATAGAAAGGCGCTGTTGTTGTCTGTGTGAGCACCGACATCTAAGACCATGTCGTTCGTCACGAAAAGCCCCTCGTTTGGGTTACCGGACTGAGATTTTGCGTTCGCCACTACGCCGGAGTTGGTCTTACGTGCATTACATCAGTTTGCATTGTCCTTTAATGAGCTGTAGGTTTCAGTAATTTTATTATTGAATATATTCCATGTGTACAAAACCCAAACCCACGTAAGCCCCGTGTTTTCCGCCACTGACGTTCCTAATTTCAGTTTCCGGCTTGCGCCTTCAGTTTTTTATTTCCATCTATGTTGCCCAGCTAACTTTTTAAGTCGAGCACTCTGTTCTGCATAACGGACTGCTTGAATCAACCGAATCTCGCTCAAGCATGAAACCAGAGTATTCTCCAGTCCTTACTTCTTTTGGAGAACCCCATGGTACTGAACTCAGCGTGGATGTTTCCGACCCATGTGATATATGTGGGCACACGTTCACTCTCTGCGAACTAGGCTACCGAAACTCTTAACCTCACTATTCCCAGTGCAAGCTGACGGCAAGCTGTTCTAGAAAATTTTAGCTTATGCCTAGATGTGTTTTCCCATCACAACAGCCGATATCATAAGAGATCAGGTTGTAACTATGTTCTGTTTCAAGAGTCTGGCGGTAGATGATCTTCTGCTGTCATCCAACGATTACCGCCGTCTCGGTGTGCGTACTGGCTGCAGTGTTATGCTTATGGGGTTAGGATTGGGGCGGATGCTGATTCAACGGTCATTCTGAGGGAGCATACGGATCCAACGGCATCTCAGCCTTAAAAGTTCATATATACTTTTTCGTGGAGATTTCGTCCTGTAAGTGAAGCTACTTTATGCCGCAAAGCCGAGAAGCACTGTACAGTTGTTTCATCCTTATTGGGAATCATCAGCAGTGTGCATCTCACGAAGCTCCGAAGAGTTCCGAACCCGCGACCTCCCGGCTAGTAGCTTGAACACTTAACCACTCGGTCATGAGTGACTGATCAGCAGTGTGATTAACTCGCACTTAGACAGGATATAGCGCCGCTCATCCTTCAATCATGAGATCCACATCACGCGGACACACGTGTTGACTGGCTCCTCGAACACCGACTTCTCAGATAGAAGTTTCACTCATCGGGTGAAGCTTACTTTTCCACTGAGCTACTTATAGATTGTTGGTAGCGTGAGAAGGTTTGGGATAGATTGGCATAGATTGGCCTCACTTACAGGACGAAATCTCCACAAAAATCCCAAATCTCCTCACACTATCTACTATTTAGTGGATGCGTTCAAGAAGAAGCCTTTGCTATAGAGAAGAATGTTGGTAGCTCAGGCAGCACAGATGGTCGTTGGCTTGTTCGCTGATCTGGGCAGAGGAGAGTCTAATTTGAGGCAGCAATAAAGTTTGCTTTCACCGATACCTGGCTGGCTGGAACCGGATGAAACGAATACAGTAAGAATATTAGTAAACATTTTACCAATAAGAACTACAGGGCCAGTCTAAATACGGTACTTTAGGGTATGTTGAGGTAGTTGCACCTTGTTCTACAGACTGAGTGTCGAGGGGGGGAGTACATTGATCCATGCGAATTCATCTCTCTCGGAGACAGATTGAGATGAGTCACGTTCCAATAGAAGGTCGTCAACAGGTGGCTGGTGGAACGTCCGAACTTTGTTAGATCAAGGTGATAACCAGCTCGACCATCCTGCCTTAGTTGCAGTGGAACTGACGAGATATGAAATCGATGTCGTGGCTTTCAGCGAACCACAGCGACTTTCAGTTACCAGTATCGTGAACGAAAGCCGGGATACTCATGGCTAGCTACAGAATTCCACACGGTGCAGTCTGGGTTCTGCAGCCCCTAGGATGTCCAGAGGGGATGTCGTTAGGTCTACCTATCAGGCTGTTCCAAGCTACCTGAGCGAAGCCTCAACCTAATGTCCTGGAGAGGCCGGGGTTTCAGACCCATACTAGAAGGGCTTCATGTGACTATTGCTCTATAGACTAAGCTCGATAATAGCTACCTGGCTAAATGAGTGTGCTCATGATGCCTCTCTTGGTTGCATGGCTTCAACCGTCTTGTTAGTCCGTAATGAATCGACAATTATGGGCCACCGGGTTGGCATACTGATCGCTTTGGAGCTGTCCCGGCATTGTGTGCTTGTGTTCATCTCCTTCGACGTCACCCGCCCATTCGGAAACGCGTGTCAACCCATGCAGGGCAGGCCTCCACTCAACTGTTCAGAAAGATCTCTCAACTATATGTCTCCATATACCGATTAAAGTTCTACTTATAGCCGTAGCATAGTTTTACTCGCAGCAGATTGAGTGCACTTCAGAACGACAGACTTTCAGTTTATTATGCAACTAACCATGGTTTCAGAGCCGGACGACCTAGCTTCGGCATTTTGAAGACAATACCGTGCTACTAACCGGTGGAACAGTAGTCAAAGATTACCGTTGAGTAAAACATGGCTGAAAGACCGGGTAGCAGGCGAATTCGTTTACGATGACCCTTCAGCTGACTAAATGCTGCGCGAAGGATTGGCGAAAATGGGCAAAAAGTGTATCATATAACGTGGTAAGTAGTCAGAAAATTGCCCAAAAATCAGGTGGTACGTAAGCTTTTTTCGGCATGCCAAATGCGCCTAGGGTAATCTAAGATCTTTTTGTGCACAGAGTCCAGAGTTACTGAGAGTTTCGTTTATTTCTGAAGGATTCTACTAATCACAGAAAAAATCTGATCGTAGTCAGAAAAGGATGAGAAGGTCCAGTCATAATACCGACTTAGAACTGGCAGTGTACAGCTGGGAAACCCCAAGTTTACAAGGGAATTAAAACAACTGTTAACGGAGGCAGATCTTTGAAAAGGAAGATACGGATGGGGATAGCTCTGAATCACTGTCTACGCAGAGGGTTTCACGCTGATAGCACTTGCTTTCTGATCTATCAGTTAGAAATCTAAGGAGCTACTTATAAAATCCAGGCGCATAAATGTGGCATTGGATAGGGTACATATCCCACCAGATTTGGGTCAGTAGTCGACGCCCATCTCCTAAGTACTCCAACTGCTTTTCAAGGAATGAGATCTTAGAACCAGGTGTGTGTCTGAATAAGTTTCCTCTTGGAAAGTACCTTGCTGGACTTTCACACAGGTGGTGCCGCAGAAATGAAGATTCGTGTTGAAATTACGAAAAATTAAAGATATCTACGGGACTATACACTGTAAGTTGCGCTCAAACACAAATGGTGTATGCCAGAATTCCCGAACAGGATTTCATTTCTACGTGAATATTCTGAACAGTTATCTAGGAATCGTGGTGAAGAAAATTCCATGTTTGTGATACCCTTAATGTAATGAAATAAAACCGGATCGGCGCTTATGTTCCGGCGCAATTATTCTGGTGAGTCCACACCAAAGGGACAAGTACTGGCCTCGAGCCTTGCTCTTATCAGAGCTCATCAGCTGTACCTATCCTTGACCTTGTCAAAGTTTGAACTCCGGACGTCTGAAATGTGAGGCGAGAGTGTTTCCACTAATCCACCAGAGACGTATTGGACGCACTTGAATTATCGATCGTGTCCACGCCTGAGCAATGTGATTAGTTTAAGAACGGCTCGGAAGACGACCTAGTGACTCTCCTGGTTGTGTTGATAGACTGACCCCCCTGTCAGAACTTCTCTGTCAGTACATTTGAATCACACTTAGATATGAAATTCACATCACTTAGTCAGGTGTTGGTAAACTTTTCGAGTGACAACTTTTCATGCTGGAATTTTCACTTATCCTGCATAATTGTTATTCCCCTGAGCAACTCACAGATTTTGAAAATACACTCATTTCCAAAAGAATTCGGATTTGACTTGAGACTGAACTTCATCGCAGCGGAATCTCTCATTCCGGATGTAGTCTTTTTTAGCTGGATATGACGCAAAATGGCCGCGTCAGCTCTGATCGAGAATAAACTTTGTCCTCAGGAAGGACTGTTCTGAGACTAACACTAAAAGAATGCTAGCGAACATGGATGGAGGAAAATCGTAAGCCATTTAAATCGAAGCTACAGTCAAGTCAGCGCGTGAGTTGGCACCAAATATGCCACCAGTAAATGTTACATCATAGGCAGTTGGTGAGTGTTAGTTTTTGATTTAACAGATGGTATGTGCATAGCCAACAGGGCTAGTTAG